AATGGTACGATCATCAACCTGCTGGAGGTCTCCCCGTGGTATGCCAAGCAGTGCATCGCGTTGGACGTGAGGGCGTGGCAGATGAAGCTCTTGGCAGACGGCGCGCACGCTGATGTTCGCAGTGGCAGCTTCGTCTCGCAGCTGCGGCGGTGGTTTGCCAAGGGTGTAGGAAGTTCCAGCCTGGCCAAAGGCTGGGAGCCTCTCAACTGCAGCCAGCGAGGATACGCGCGCTCGGTCTTCGTCCTCGGGCAGTGGCCGAACAGCAGGCGGTACCACGGTGCTCCGCGGATCTCGCATACGCCGTGCTGCCAGCTGCATCCAGAGCAGCCTGGCACTCTCTGGCACAGGCACACCGCCTGCCAGGACAGCTGGCCGAGTTTGACGCTGCCAGCCGAGATCAGCAAGCTCGTTCCCTTCAGCACCAGCGTGACCATCACCACGCTCCTGGAGAGGCTGGTCTTGCCCGAGCCCCTCCACGAGTGGCGCCCGCCTGGAGACGACCTCCTCGCGCACGTGCAGTGGCTCGAGGGCGGCGACGGGTTCCCGTTTTCCAACACCACGGTCTACTCCGACGGAGCGGTCTACGACGCTGGGACATCGCTGACGGTGGGGGCTTGCGGCATGGTGCAGCTGCCCGACGGCGGTGACGACTGGGATCCTGGACCTGAGTCGGCCGTTAAGGCGCTAGGCACTCCCTTGCCTGGGCCATTGCAGTCCATCGACGGGGCCGAGCTCTTGGGGTGCCTGGTGCTCCTCCGCCACAGCCTGCCCCCGATCACCGCGGCCTTCGACGCCGCGTACGCGACCAAAGGCTTGACGGCGAGGGGCGAAGCCAACACCACCAAGGCGACTTCTGCCTGGGGGTGCATCTGGAGGCGAGTCTGGGCGGCACTTGACGACTTCGGCGGCATCGGGCCCCAGGGGCTCACGATTCAGAAGGTCAAGGCGCATGCCTCTGCGGCCATGGTTCAGAAAAGGGACATCACTGCCCGCGACAGGCGTGGCAACTGGGAGGCCGACCGTGCTGCAAAGGCAGTCGCAGCCGCAGTGAGGGCACCGCTCGAGCTGCGGGAAGCCTGGCAGCGGCGGTCTCTTACGCTGGACGGGGTCGCGCACTGGGTCGCGCGCGCTGGGTGCGAGGCAGCTGACCTGGAGCTGGACATCGACCCGAACTGCAAGCCGATTCACAACGGGCCGCCTCTCAGCGTCACCAGGCACGACGTGGTCAAGGTGGCTGGCGACGGTGTGCACTGCAGGGCCTGCCTCAAGACGGCCTACACCGACCTCAGCATCAAGAGGCTGCTCAAGGACCCATGCGCGGGCAAGCCGTTCGCGCCCGTGGCAAGCGGCGCGAGGCGCAAGCCAGCTGCGTCGGCCCTGGCGTCTGCAGGCGCGGTGGCGGTGGCGCTGGCAGCGGCGCACAGGCTTGAGCAGGAGGCCCAGAGCGCGCAGGAAGACGAGATCGTGGCGTCCTCCGAGCCCGAGACCCAGCAGATGGCGCCGAGCCCTTCGCTGCCGCTCGAGAGCCTCCAGCTGAGGCAGCAGCGGCTGGCGGAGGCAGCAGCAGCAGCAGCAGCAGCGGCCAGGACCTCTCGCCTGGCGCTGCCCTCATGCGTGCTGTGGGCGCCGCCCGCGCCGCGCGCGAGCAGCCAGCTGAGGCGACAGCGGCTGGCGGGGGCAGCAGCGGCAGCAGCGGCCAGGACCTCACACCTGGAGCTGCCCTCATGCGCGCGGTGGCCGCCGCCCGCGCAGCACGCGAGGCTCAGGGCGCCTTGCGCGCGGGCCCCGCTGACGGCCGGGCGGACGCGGGCCCCGCGGTCGCCCGGGACGCCATGGAGGTGGACGAGCCTGGGGGATCAGGCACCCAGGATGCCGAAGGTGTGGGCCACGCGCCCCTCAGCATCAACGGCTTCAGGATTTGCACGCGCTGCAAGGCGCGCGCCAAGGGGATCAATGGCAAGCGCAGGACGCTCGGCAAGACGTGCGTCGCAGCCTCAGGCAATGCGCTGCGCCTGCGCAACCTGAAGGTCGCTAACATCAGGGCAGGCTTGGACCCAAAGACGGGCAAGCGCCTGAGTGATTGAGTTGGGGAGTGCCTTCGGTTGTCTGAGCCTTTTCAGGCTCGGCACGGGGTGGATGGTGGCTCGTGCGGCTGCCTCACCTGACGGCGCATGCCCAGGCGGCGCGGCGTGCGCGCTGCTTTCGGAGGCCGCTGTTTGCGGGCCTCCTCGCCGCATTTTGCGGCTTCGCCATCTTGGCGGCAGGATCGGTTCGTGCTGCACGGGCTGCCTTGTCATTAAAAAAAGTGGCTCGAATCCGCAATGTTTTATGCACGTCTGTTGCTATAGATTGCGCCTCTCCTGGGGCACGAAACCTTCCTAGGAGGTCCCAGGAGGTCCCAAGAGGCTCCTGGAGACCCCAGGAAGCCCCAGTAGGTTTCAGGAGGCCCCAGGAGGCCCCAGGCTCATGCACAGAGACGCGCTCGTACTACTGAGGCTCATTCACACTCCAAGTCATTCGCAGTTAGATTGATGTCCAGACCGTCACAACTGAAGCCCGTTAATATTCGAAAGCTCTTGCGCCTAGACATTCACGGCGGACAGGCCCATGCGAGTAGATGCACATATGGGGAGCTCCACGCAGTGAATGATTTTCGTGGTTCGTCGTCGTCCCCCTGGCTCTGGCTTCCCATCCTCGTCGTCGTCTCCCTGCTGCCCCCTATCCCTGGGCCTCCGCGCCCCAACCCGGACCCCTGGCTCCTGGTCCGAGCCCCGCAGTCCTCCTGCCCTGGCCCTGAACCCAGCTGCCTTGGCTCTGGCGTCCCCTGACCCTGGCCCCAGCTCCCCTCGCCCCGGATTCTTTGTTTTCGTGGTTCGTCGTCGTCCCCGTGGCTCTGGCCTGCTTCCCCAGGCCCCCTCGCCCCTGTGCTCCTGCCTTGGCCCTGAACCCAGCCTCCCTCCTTGGCTCTGGCGCCCCCCCCCCCGCCCCAGACTCTTTATTTTCGTGGTTCGTCGTCGTCCTCCTGGCTCTGGCCTGCTTCCCCTGGCCCCCTCGCCCCCGTCCTGCTGCTTTGGCCCTGAACCCAGCTCCCCTCTTTGGCTCTGGCGTCCCTTGGCCCTGAACCCAGCCCCCCTCGCCCTGGACCCATTATTTTCGTGGTTCGTCGTCGTCCCCCTGGCACTGGCCTGCTTCCCCTGGCCCCCTCGCCCCTGTGCTCCTGCCCTGGGCCCCCCCTCGCCCCGGCCCTGGCCTTGGCCCCACTCGCCCCGACCCTGGCCTTCGCCCCAGCCCTCCTCGCCCCGGACCGTGTATATTCGTGGTTCGAACTCGGACCTCTGGCCCCTGGTCTGAGCTTCAGTCCCCCTGCCCTGGCCCTGGACCCCCACTCGCCCCGACCCTGGCCTTGGCCCCAGCCCTCCTCGCCCCGGACCTTTATTTTCGTGGTTCCGTCCCCCTGGCTCTGGCCCCCCATCCCCTGGCCCTCTCGTCCCCCACATGCCCCTCCTCCTCCTTCTCTCTTCAAATGTGCAAGAGCCAGGGCACGCGTGCCACTTGTTCTAACATCGTGGGTGAATCTTGGATTCACACACGTCCCATTCATCCTACCTGCTCATTCTCCCCATGTCCCTCCTCCTCGTGCCCGCCCTCCTCTCATTCCCTCCTCCCCCACTCGTCCCCTCTCTCCCCCTTGCGGCTTCCACCCGTTCTCCTCCTCTGAACTATTCCTTCCTCCTCCAGCCCCCCCCCCGACCCCTCCTTATGCCCTCCTCCTTGTCCTCCCACCGCGCGCGCAGGGGGGGAGTAGAGGAGGGGTCGCGCGGTTACGCGCGTACGAGGAGGAGGAGGAGGAGGAGGAGGAGGAGGAGGAGGAGGAGGAGGAGGAGGAGGAGAAGGAAGAGGAGGAGGAGGAAGAGGAGGACTAGCGTGAACCAAAGACTCGTCAACTATGCTGGGATATACCCTCCCTCCAAGCTCGTTCGTCATAGGCCCCTACAAAGGTCAGTTAAACTGAGGGAATTGCCCCGTTGGGGGACAACCGTGTGAAAATCCTATAGCGTGCCAGAACACCATTCTCAGGACTCCAACGCCACGAATTATCTTGACTGCTGCGTCTTGACGATCCAGAACCGCGCCAGAACACCATTCCTGTGACTTCAACGCCGCGAGTCAACGTAACCGGTGCGCCTTGACAATCCCGAGTCGCTTCAAAAGCGAATTATGTGGTACCCTGACCATGGGAATCCGTAAAATTGTTTGCAATATTTTATGACGGGTGTTCGCGGCGCTAAGGCGATAGCCACGTTCCAGAGCAGAAACCTTCCATCCGTGAAACCCTTCCAAGTGTTTAAAAGAACGCGCGCGGCGCCCAGGCGAGAGCCACATGTTGAAATCCACCCGCCCTCAATCTGGGATTTTTTTCAAAAGTTTGAAAACGAGTGTGCGCGGTGCTGGGGCGAGAGCCACAGTTTGACAACGTCCCGCCATCAATCCGTGAAGTTCTTGCACATGCTTTCAAAAAGTGGGCGCGGCGCTAAGGCGAGAGCCACCCTTTTGGAAAACGACCCGCCCTCAATCCGTGAAGCTCTTGCAGTTGTCTTCAACGACTGCGCGGCGCTACGGCGAGTGCCACATTCTCTCCATTTGTGAAGCTGTTGCTGTTTGTTGAGCCTCAGGATCGGAAAATTAAAGGAAGTCTCAGAGGAAGCGCCCCGCCCGCCCTTCTGATTGTTGTCGGGACAAGACAGGAAGGTGTTACACATAATGACGGAGGAGGAGGAGGAGGAGGAGGAGGAGGAGGAGGAGGGGGAGGAAGAGGAGGAGGAGGAGGAGCAGGAGGAGGAGCTGAGAGGAAGACGACCACGGAGGAGGGGCAGGGGGGGAGAGGAGGGTGGAGCAGGACTGGGGCTGGAGCCTGGAGGGCGAGGACGGGGCATGCAGGAAGAGCTCCTCCCTCCGGCGAGCAGACGCGAGAGAGAGAGAGAGAGTGCACGCCGGGGAAGGGCGTCGCCGAGCCGCCGCCGGCGCCCTGGAAGGCCCGTGGGCCGTGCGCTTCCCCCCCCTTCCCCGCCACGAGCGTCCACGCGCCCCCGGCGCCGGGCCGGTTGCCGCGCGGCGTCGTGTCGTGTGGGCTCCTCCTCCTCCTCCTCCTCCTCCTCCTCCTCCTCCTCCTCCTCCCCCTCAGCCGTGTCGGCCCAGGCGCACTGGGCTTGCCCGAGTGTACTTCGACGCGGCTCGCTCGGGCGGGCCACGGATGGCGGCAAGGCACCCTTCTTGGCCTTGTGGGAACTGCGCGAGGGTGTATGGCACAGCGTTCGCCAACTATGCCCACCGCACCCACTGCCTGCGCTGCGGCAAGCAGGCGCCAAAAGGAGTGCTGGAGAAGCAGAGAAAGCAGAATCAGGGAGCAGCGGGTGGAGGCAAGAGCCAGCCCCCTTGGCAGAAGGCGAAGAACAGGTGGGCGGACGGACCGCCAGCCTCTCTCTGGGCAGGCTCCATCAGCCAGACCCAGGCCTCGCCAGCCCCTGCTGCTCAACCTATGGTCGATCAGGCAACGGCGAAAGCGATGCTTGAGACCATGGTCAAGGCACACGGAGATGATCGGAAGCTCTGGCCAGAGCAGGCGAAGAGCATGGTGGTGCAGTGGGACAAGGCGATGTCTGTCAAGGCGTCCGACCAGCCCGTCGACATCACAAAGCTCACTTCGTTCCAGCTGGGCCAGAGGCTGGAAGACACTAACAAAAAGCTTCAGAAGTCTGAGGAGCGGCTCAAGGAGCGCGAGGAGGAGTACCAGCGCGCCCTGGCAAGTCGTGACGCAGAGAAGCAGATTCTGGAGAATCACAAGCACAAAAAGCAGCAGCTCGAGAAGGCGAAGTCCGACGCCTTCCTCAAGGAGCAGGCCAGTGGTGCAGCCAATCCAGCCCTGCAGCTTTGTGGACGATTCGCAGAGCTTCAGCTGGCAGGCAGCGACAGCGAAGTTCCTGAGCCTTTGCGAGGGCCCATGCAGGCTCTTCAGCAGGCGCTGGAGCAGTACCAAAAGCAGGAGGCCGAGAAGAGGAGGGCCCAGCAGGAGAGCGCTCAGGCTGAGCAGCCTACCGCTCCTCCTGGTGACGGCGGCGGCAGTGGTGCAGGTGATGTCGGCATGGGTGCTGGACCCGAGCTTGACATCCCAGTGCCCGAGGACGAGGACCTGGAGGACCTGTACAACGAGCAGGGCCTCAAGCTGGACGGGGTTGACGACGTCGCCGAGATCCAGCGCATCAACGAAGCCCGCAAGAGGATTCGCCAGCAGCTGGCCTCAGCTGCTGAGAAGGCCAAGCGGCGCAGGGTCGGGGCCCCAGCTGCTGCAGCAGACACCCACTGAGGGCTTTGCGAAAGCTGGCAGCTGGGGCCACTTCCAGCAGATAGTGAGCCAGACGCAGCTCACGCTCCAGCAGATGGCGCCGCTGTTGTCGGCTCCAGCTTCGCAGAGGTACCAGGCGCTTCAGCTGTTGGACTGCCTCAATTCGCTCGGCTCGACAGTGGCGTTTTCACTCAGAGCGGCAGTTGGGAGTTCGACGGCCATCCCTTCTTTGGTACCACAGTCAGCCATGCAGATACGTGCAGTTTCTGGCAGCGGTGTGGTTGACGGTGCTGTTTCAGAGCAGAATGCAGAGTTGTTTGGAGCTCTTATCTGTTCGCTCAACATCTACGACGGCATCGTTTGGGTGTCAGGGGAGCCGTGTGCGATGGGCAAGCCACCGCCCGTGGATCCTGACACGCCACAGTACATCTTTCGCGAAGGACTGATGTCAGCAGCATGCAGATGGGTTCCCCCACTTGCTTCAGATTCCTCAGGATATGAGGAGTGGATGGACATGTGCGGGCAGTACGCAGTTGTGAAGCTCAGGCAGCAATCACCTGCAGATTTTCGGGATGAGGCTCACCTCAGCCAAGTTGCTCGCAATTATTGTTACATGGCATGGGTGCAGTCTAGCAATAACAGAGCCAACTTCCTTGAGTACCTGGACTGGCTGGAGTCGCAGGACATGTTCAACGAATGGGACAGGGTCATAGCTCTACACTGGCAGCAGCTGGGAGATATTCAACGTCTATTTCGCCGAGAGATACGTGAGGGTCGGGCCCCGCCTATTGATGCGGCTCGGTATCGGCCAACAGTTGAACTCCCAAGCGAAGATGGCCAACACGATGCTGGGGTCAAAACTGAGGACGATGCTGGGGTCAAAACTGAGGACCAACAAGATGAAGATGATGAAGCTGACCCTGAGGATCCAGCTGGACCACCTGCACCACGAGCTGCACAGCTGCATGCAGATACTCTGGTGCTATCTCAGAGTGGTGGTTCTAATATAGAATCCAAGCCAGAGAAGCTCCCGAACCCCCGAGGTGCTGTCTTGGGGAGTCTTGAGCAGGTTGGGTCGCTTCGCCAGACTCAGCCTCAAGAGGCTGACGGGGGCCCTGGGGGGATTGGCGTCGGGGAGTGTGCCCCTCGTGCCGCCGACGACCATGAACCCTCGGGCCCCGCGTCTTGGGGCACAGGCCCGTTTGGGAACACCTCGTCGCCTCCCAAGGGAGGTATGCCAGTGCGGACTGCAGCTCAGCAAAACTTGGCGTCGGCGCAGAATCAAAGCGACGCCTTGAGTGCTGAGCGGACCTGCCGCAACTGTGGTGTCGGCCTCCCCAGTCAGGCCCGACCAGAGGAGGTGGTGACTACAAAGGTGCGCACGTGGAGGATTGTCACTGCCAACATTACCTCAGCGCAGAAGGAGGCGGCGAAGTTGTCCAAGATCGCAGCGGAGGTGGTAGAGATCGAGGTCGATGCTGATGCCCTGCTCATCCAGGAGCACAAGCTGCTCAAACCAGCGGTGGGGGACACTGTGGTGAGGCTGAAGCATCAGGGCTGGCACTTCCACATCTCCCCAGCCAAGCCGGGCACCACAGCCACATCAGCATCGTCAGGAGTGGCAGTCGGAGTTCGACAAGATATCGGCTCAGCAGCTCCACCTGACATGGGTGGCGTTACACCCCCGACCTCAAGATGGACAACACAGTGGATCGATGGCATGCTCCCTGGTGGCTTCATTCTGGCCTCGATCTACCTCATCTCAGGTAATCAGCACAAAGACGTGGAGGACAACAATAGGCAGATCATCCTGCAATGTTTTGAGCAGCTCAAGAGACTGGGACGCCCTTTCATCATTGGAGGTGATTGGAACATGAGTCCGCTCGACCTGGAGGAGCTCAATGTTTTGAATGACATGCCAGCTACCATAGCAGCTCCGTTTGAGTGGACGTGCTCAGCAGGACGTGGACGAACTATAGATTTCTTTGTGGTCTCCAAGCATTTCAAGAGCTTGATCACGGGAGTGCGACGACTGGAGGGCCTCAGCCTAGCAACGCATTGGGGAGTTTTGCTTGAGCTAGAAGCAGGACCTGGCGCGGCCATGGAGCAGCAGATCGTGATGCCGCGGAAGTTTCCCAACGATTGTCCGCTTGGCGCTCCACGCCCACCTCCATCGTACGACCAAGTACATGATGAGTGCCATCATGCACGTGAAGCTCAGGACCTCGACTGGTGCTTTCAGACGTGGGCTCAGATGGCTGAGGCGGAGTTGGCAGATCGGTATCACCTTCCTGACAACAAGCGACGTGCTGCAGCTGGACGGGGTGAGCTACATGTGCCTCAGTTCAAGCTGGTGGCAGCGGCTCGCAAAGCACCAGGTAGAGGCGCTGAAGGAGACCCCATCTCACGGAATTGGAGAAGGGCGGCCATGGCATTCCAGGACCTTCTTCATGCGCTCAAGAGGGAGTGGGAGCTGGACTCGCAATTCATTCAGCAGCGGCTTCAGACCCTTCGCAAGTTGAGGCGCAAGAACTTGGACATGGGCAGTTCCTGGTTTGTCCTTTGGTACCGACTCGACTATGAATGGAGTTGGGAGGATGAATGGATACGGGATTGCAGTTGGTTTGCAGCGCAGGAAGCCACCAAGCTCGAGCAGCTGCACTCAAAGCAGCGGGTCAAGGAGTGGCGGCAGGCGGTAGCTAAGTCCATCGAGCAGGAGCAGTCGAAGGCACACAGATGGAGTAAGCCACCAACTTTGTGGACGCAAGCAGAAGTTCATCCTGCCACGGGCATCAAGTCACATGCTATTACACTCGACGCGGACCTGCAGCAGTGGCTTAAGATATGGAATCATGATCCTGCAGCAAGCTCTTTTGGAGCCGGCCTACATTTATCCCAACTTCAGATTGATGATCAAATGGAACCTCTGGAAGTTGAGCAGATTCGCAAGGCAGCGCTTTCGTTCAAAGTGAAGACGGCCTCGGGCATCGACAACCTTGGGCCCAGGAATATGGCGCTGTTATCCGACGACTGCTTGCAAGCTTTCAGTTCTGTTATGGAGGTAGCGGAACGTATTGCGGAGGTTCCCAAGCAGATGAAGAATACAGTACTCCCGCGTTTACCCAAGCCTGAAGGTGGTCACAGGTTGATCGGCCTTATGACCGACACGCTCCGAGTCTACAACAGATGCAGAAGACCTGTCCAACGGCGGTGGCTTCAAGAGTATGCTCGGCCTTACCACTACGCCACGGCAGGGCGCAGTTCGGAGCGCGCGGTGTGGACTCAGTCAGTCATGGCAGAAGCGTGACGAGCATTGATGAGACACACGGTCACTGTGATGCTTGATTTGAAGAAAGCCTTCGAGAAGATATCGCATGCCTTATTGTGGGAGATTGGCTGCAGGCACAAGTTTCCCAAAAGGCGCTTGGCGATGCTCATCAAGACGCATGCTGGTCAAAGATGCCTCAAGTTTGGGAAGATCGCTTCAAGATTCATTTCCACGAACCAAGGCGTCATCGCAGGGTGCTCGGATGCCACCACCATGATGATCCTTTTCACTTGGGGCGCGTACGACCAGGTCTACACCTTGTGGCCGTCGCTCACCATCAGCGTTGTTGTGGACGATGGCAGTCTACAGGCTACGGGCACTGAGGCCGATGCTGCACGTATCATCATTGCTGCGGCCAAGATGTT